ATAATCAGTAAGCATTAATTAGCATGATGATTAATTTTATGTCTTCACATGACTACACTATTGTGGCGAGTTGTTTGGTCAGGTACCAGTCTGGATGTAGCTGTGAGGGTATTTTTTAGACAAAATTAACATTTAAATCAGTAGATTTTGATTAAGCAGATTATCTTCTATAATGTGGATGGGTCTCATCCAATCAGTTGAAGGCCTTTAAGAACAAAGACTAAAGTTTCTGGGAATGGGAAAAAAAAAAAGAAATTCTTAAAACTGCAAGATCTGTGACTCCAGACAGCAACACTAATTCTCATCAGAGACTCTAGCTTATTGACCTGATCCACAAATTTTAGACTTGGCAGCTCCCACAATTGCATGAGCCAATTCCTTACAGTCTCAAGCTCTCTCTCTCGCTCTCTCTCCTCTCGTTTTCTGTATAATGTCATATCTAATGCAGAGATCTATCATCGACCTATCATCTATCTATCTTTCTATCTATCATCATCTGTCTATCTAATCTATTGGTGCTGTTTCTCTGGAGAATGTTGGTTAATACAGTTAGTGTTACGTTAATTAGATTAAAAGTAAACTATTTTAGTAATTTGACTTTGATTCTTGAGGACCAAATTAGTGGGGCGTTTCTAACTTCCTAATTAAAAGGAAACCTTTCCCCAAAGAGAACACAAACAAAGAGATAAAGTAAGGAAATAGTCCTGCACCAGTACGTTTCAAAGTAGATTTTTGTAACTTAAAAAGTATATTATTGTGGTTAAAATTCAACTATTTTTTCCTCTTTGTTTCTAAAGAGATAGATATGTTAGGCTCAGAGTTCAGGGAAGTGTCTGAAGGCCCTTTACAAAATCCACGTGATAATAAGTCAGGGACTTTGTAAAAATCTTATACCAAGGATTTCCCCCCCTCACCCTCTAAAGAGCCTCACATTTGCAGAGAGAATCATTTGGTACCGTATCTCCATCCTTCCTAAGTTCTTGGTCCACCCCTTCTCAGCAAGAGCCTTTAATCATAGCCATGCAAATTGCACAGGACGTGGAGGGGACACCTGTCAGGGAACTAGAGACGGGGCCTAGAAATCTCATCTAGAGCCCCATCCCTCTCATCGCCGCCTTTTCGATTTCTGAACACAAAATTGTACCTGCACGCTAGAAACACTGCCGACGCCGTCACCATGATTAATGTTAACCATAACATTAAATGAGATTCTAATAGAAACAAGGCAAGAGTCTGAACAAATGTTGACTATAATTTGTAAATGGCAGGGTTGGTAAACTAAATGCATCTGTTGTGCTTGAAACAAAAACTACCACTTCATATGTTTGCATGTGGCAACTATTATTCCAAGTAATGTACAGGTATCAACTTGCTTAATGACCACAGCACTATGAGGTAGAGTTTTACTCAGCTGAAAGAGGAAAAGTCTGAACACAAGTGCATTGTACAAATTTTCCACGGTTACTCCACTAGTAAATGAGAGAACTAGGATTCAAAAAGTTTTTACTTTTAACTGCTGATACCTCACTATCCTCTAATACTGAAAGAATCTTCTAATACTAAAACCCATGTTAAATTTTCACCTTTGTACTTTTATCCCTCTTTCAAGCCCTAATTACATGGCACAATGCAGACTGTTTACTAAGGAATGTGTCCATCCATTCAGCTTTTAATGCCTGAAAAGCCGTGAAAAGTCAATGTTAATATGCATTGTCACTAAGTGAAAAATTTATATCTCAAAGACTTTCTTACTTTTATATTTAACCATATCTTAGAATCTGCCATGTTGGTTCTTGGGTTTTTTTGTTTGTTTGTTTATTTGTTTTTGTTTTTTGTCTACATTCTTTTCTATCACCCTGAGTCTCATCGGCTCTTTCTTGTCTGTATTTTTTGTACTTTGATGTCTCTTCTACTTATTTCTGGTCCTCAAGGATGATGGCTGAGCCCAAGCCCCAGTCACATATCGACACAGGGTAAACCAGTGAGTTATGTGCTCTTTTCATGCATACATCTCTCTGTAGCAACACCACTACCAGGCATGGTTCTGGATCCTCCTGGTGTAAAATCTTAGTGGGCAGCAGCAGAAACTGAGAAATGACAGGAAGGAGCAGAAGGGCAGTCACAGAGTAGAACGTTTCATCACTGTCTGGAAGTAAAAACACATGATAACAATGGCTAAACCCTAAAAGCCAATGGTCCTCCATTGATTTGGTTCACACCAGGAACTACTGGAAGGCAGGGCTTAAAGGCACAGGCCAAGGTCCAAGTGTTCAATTTGGAATACCAGTGCTGTCAATTACCAGATATAACCATGGGTAAGTGATCTGACCTCTCTGTGTCTCTGTCATCTCCACATAGGAGATAAGGTAAATAAAACTCTTACCCCAATACTTGGTGAGGACAGTATGTTATCCACAAGTGCCATCTATTATTACATAGAGTCATAAAGCTTTAGACTGGTGTGACCTTTTAGAAGTCAATTTATAACTGTTATGCATAGGAAAACCAAGAAAGAGGAAGGAAATAATTTGTCTGAGAGTATGTAGCAGATTTTCCTGCTCCACCAGACATTTGCTATACCATAGTCGGCCTTTCTAGAAACCTCTCGATCACAGGGCTGCCTCTATTGTTTATGCTTCATATATGAAAGGCCAATGTTTGTAAGTTGTTTTTCCTCTTCATTTGATAGATTTATGCTGAGCCATTCTCTCACCTATCTGCTCTTAGGAAAATAAAGAAAACAAGACAGGATTAGGGATCCAGAGATCGGCATGGGTCACAGCGGGGTAAACACCATCCACTGCAGCCTCACAAACACGGTTGTGGGCAGTGAAGTAATCAGCCTTAGAGAGACCTGGAATAAAAAACAAAAACATCCAGCCTTGCCACAGAGTACAGCCCTCCAATTCCCTGCCAGCTGGAGGTTGATAGAAACGGGTCCTAGTGTGGATTGAAAGGACCTGTGCACAAGTATATTTCTTGACCTCAAATCCTGTCTTCATTAATTGAATCTGAACAAAGAAATAGTTTTTAAAAATACTTTTAATTTTGGATTGACTAACAAAAAATAAATAAATTATATATTCACAGGATAGTGGTCTCGCTGGACAGCGTATTCTGAGAAACCACTCTGAATTCAGGGATCCTGGGGAATAAGTAAATCAAATATGGTTGATATTTTTTTCACCCACACCCGCAAGTGCCCACAGAATGTCCACAGGGTACCTAAAAAGAATTACTGACCTCAGGCCTAGACCCAGGAGACTCAACCTGGATGCAGCCTTGCCCTATGGAGCAGACTTAGAGCCTTCTTTAGGGTCTGGGGAGGCTTCCAGAAGGACAGCCCTCACTCCTTTCTTCACTCCTGCTTACACCTAAATAAACCCCTTCATCCAGCCCATGTGGTACCCTCTTCATTGCTCGTGCCCAGATCTCTCTGCAGACCTACCCTTCAGACTTAAGCCTTCAAGAGTTATCTGGAGATAGCCAAGTGGGAATGAGGGTTGTGGCATTTGGGTTTTTTGCTTTTTCACTTTGATTTATAGACTTTAATTTTTTAGGGCAGTTTTAGGCAGGATCGCAACAAACTTCAGCAGAAAGTACAGAGATTCCTATGTATTCTCTGGCCCTGCACATACACATCTTCCCTCCTTATCAATATCCCCCAGGTGGTAGAGTTTTTTCACTCTTCTTATTTACACCCTGAACTTCTTTACTATTTTCTCCTTGTCACAAACTGGCAGTTCCCATAGTAAATATAGGGGATGTCAAATTTTCCCCTTGCCATGTTTGTTTCTGCCTCCAGGATGCTTCTGTTTTTAATAAAACCATAGAAACTTCTCCTCCCACTACACTCATACCACACACAGAAAAACAGTTGGGAAAACATTTTAATTATTCCAAACCACAACACCACTTAACTACAGAGAAGGAAGCTTGACAGACCCACCGAGGTGGGAGGCGGGAGGGGAGGCTTAGCTAAAGAAAAACCGCAGAGGGTGGCCACAGTTAGTCACTGCAAACCCCTCAGCCAGAGCTCAGACTTCCCAAGCTCAGTCCTCTTCCTGCTAGGGAAGGGCTCCTCAGGTGCTCTGGCCTTTGATGGATTGCATCTGATAATTCATTAATGAAACACCTATGGGCAGGGAGCATTGTCCTGGTCCCTCCTGTAATGAATTGCTGCTCTAAGACAAACTGCTGTGGAGAAGAGGCTGACGTGTGTGAGTGTGTGAGTGTGTGTGTGTATGTGTGTGGGTGGAGGAGGGTAGACTGCATTTTTGTAGCTATGATAATAGATTAAAGGACATATATTTCGTGTATTTCCCTCAAGTTGAGATGGAGTAGAAAGCAGAGTGGGCTGACAACCAAGTACTGGATATGTTACTAATTTGATGTGGTATTATGGAAAGCATGTTTCCTTTTTGTGTCTCAGTTTCCTATTTTATGAAATATAACGATTTCTTACCACCCTTGCAGAAATACGTGATTATAGGAGAGGCGAGGCACCAAGAGAGGAAAGGAGAAGGGGGAGGAAGCTGAACAAAAAGGAGAGACGTGTGAGGGAAGGGAGGAGGGGAGTGGAGATAGATGGGAAATGCCCTTTAATAAGTGAAAAAAGTTCAAAATGAAACTGTGGATCTCATGAGAGCTCCATTTTTTCAACTTTTGCATTTTTAGTGTTTATACGGGGAAATAAAGATTGCTTGAATGGAGAGCCTCCGGCGCTTAACTAGAGAAAAATGGGCTGGGGGAGAAATGTGCGGGAGCGAGCACGCGAGCATTCTGCGTGCGTGATCCCACCCGAGTTGACCCCACATAGCGGAGGCCTCTCTCCATCTCTCCGCCCCCGCGCACGGTGGACTTCGCTGGCTGCGCGCTTTCTCCCGCTTCCCCAAAGGGCCGCCCTGAAACCGCTAGGAGGCGCTGCGCGGCGGCTGTCCGGGGCGGGAGGCGGTGCTGCTTTAAATTGCGGCGCCCAGCAGGTTGGCGTCTCAGTTCGCAGAACCTGGGTTCAGCGGCAACTTCTAGCAACCGGACTCCACCGCCAACCCGGACCCGGACCCGGACCCGGTCCCGGACCTAGAGCCTCTCCAGCGGCGGCGCAGGGAGCCGGGCTTCCTGCAATAACTTCCTCCGCGCGGCTCTGCTACCCCCGGGAGCCCCGAGTGAGCCTCTGCCAACTTCGTCGGCTGCACCTGCCACCCCCGAGCAGCCTCTTCGCCCTAGTGAACCATGGCCAACGCGGGGCTGCAACTCCTGGGTTTTATCCTGGCCTTCCTGGGCTGGATCGGAGCCATCGTCAGCACAGCGATGCCCCAGTGGAAGACTCACTCCCATGCGGGGGACAACATCGTCACGGCCCAGTCCATCTATGAGGGGCTGTGGATGTCCTGCGTGTCACAGAGTACCGGGCAGATCCAGTGCAAAGTCTTCGACTCCTTGCTGAATTTGCACAGTGAGTGCATCCTTCTCCCCCACAGCTGGGACCCAAGTCCCTAACCCCAGCCAGCCTAGTGGTTCCCTTTAGGGGTAGGTGCTATCAGCTGATTCTGTTATGTGATTATGTGGTTGTCAGTCCTCAGTTGAAAAAGTCTTCTGATCCTGTGCGCTGTCGAGAAGTAGAGAGAACTGTGATTTGGCAAAAGTGAGGTCCAGGACTAAGCTCTAGTTTTGCCTCTAGTTCCCTGGGTAACACTTTTTCTCCTCCTCTAGATGGGGGTTCGTTTTTAAATTTCAATGAGAGAGATGTGGAGATTGAGGAGTGAAGGCCAAACCCGAACTTGAGTTCTTAGGCCTCTCCTGGACATTCTAACATTCTGCATATATTGAAGAAGGGTAGAGTCTGGACAAGAAAATGGTGTGCCTTGGAAAGTTTGTAGCCTGGTAGCCTCTCAAGTTCATAAAGTTAAATAGATATCCTCAAAGTTTTTGATTTTTTTTATTCCAATCTATCTTTACTATCTATGACTTTTCATAGAAAAATTCACCTTCTTACATGGAATGCCCCAACCTAGTGCTTCTACTCACATCAAAGTTTGAGACTTTTGAGATATAAGATTCCATAAGTGTGGAGGACCCCCTTTGCACCCCTTGTTATGACTTTCTGAAGAAGCCTCTTGAGATTCCTCTGAAGGCTTTCAAGTCAGGGGCCTTCAGGGGAGGCAGACTTTGTCCTGTTATTTTGGGAAGTGAAGGATGGTGGCTGGCGGGAAAAGGACAATAAGAAACAAAAATTCTAAATAACCCCCAATCATAATATGAAGGGCAGAGGGAAAATACTGAAGCAAAATGCCAGAAAACAGACAGAGCGGAAGACAGCGGAGGTCAGCTTGAGGAGCAAGGCAGTGAGAGAGCGGGTGGGTCTTCTCTGCGAGCATCTGTCTTCCACAATCCTTCCACAAAGGATTTTCGGTGTAATGGTGGTTTGTTTCTCATTTCTGTCAAGTTGGAAAGGATTATGTAGAGAGAAATAGTCCTGAGGATGGTGGAGAGAAGGATGACAGGGTGCCTTTTTTACTTTTTCTTTTTTTTAAAAAAAAAAAATAAAAGCTTTTGAGTGCCCTGTCTGAAACTCATTTAATTCCCACTTAACTAGGTAATAACAATTTATAGCTGGAGTATCTTCCTTGACATATTACATAAGTTGTCATGTAGCATGTGTCTGTTATGCCTTAGAACTAACCTGAAGAAAAGCTCCCTTACTCTTTGGCTAGATAAACAAGCCTGCCTGCCAGCCCCCGTAAGGGCTGAGGGTGAGCAGTGTTGTCATCTATATTAGGTATGCTCTTTTATATAACCATTGAATCTCCCAACGGAAAGATAAGAACATGTAAGGAAATGGCATCAGCAATTTTGGGTGTCATGTTGAGAAATTGGCAGATGGAGAAGTTCTAAAGACAATTCTGGAGCAGTCTCTGATTCTTCTGGCCAAAACAGTTCATTTTCAACATGTTTAAATAAGTGTCCCTTTAACTTCCTTAAATGGCTAATGGAATCAGATTGATTCATGTTATAAATATTCAGACAGGTCATTTCTATCTATGATAAGGTTAAATTCTTTTATTTTCATGTACTCTTAGTTACAATAGCTATTAAAGTTTTTGAAGTCATGGTAGAAGAATAAACAATGTCCTCCTCCCATACATACAGCGAGAGAGAGAGAGATGGATAGAGATATATCCCAGGTCAGATTCTTCTTTTCATTTTGGTTAAAGCCAGAGATAATCCAAGGTGGGGCTGAGGCCTTTCTCTCAAAACCAATTCCCAGAAGAGGGAGTTTTGACTCACGGGTATTCTCTCCAACCTGCCAATGACTCACTGGAAGCCTTCGGATAGAAACCAGAGAATCTATGTCCATTTCTCCACCTGGGCAGTAGTGCTCACACCCACCTGATATAGAGGCCCAGGGCAGGGATTCATTGGCTGGTTTTGGTATAGTTCTGTCACCTCTAAATTTGAGCAGGATTATCTGTATATTTAAGTAGTCTTCTTTGTAAAATCCTTCATTCCTTGAACTGCTTTTAGTTGAAAAGCTTGGCTAGAAGTCTCCTGAAATTGAACCTTGTTCTCTTTGCCAGTGGAGCCCACTTGGCCTCTTAGGTTCAAGATACAGGGATTCATCAAGGTTGTAGCGCTCGACGTATCAAGAGCCCTTGTTCTCCTGCTCTACATAGTGTCAGCTATAACTAGAATACTTCTATAAGTGTCTAAAGAGATACAGTGTGTTTAAACCAACATAGGGAATATAGGAAGTGAGACACAGCAGGGTGTTTTTTTTTTCTTTAAGTAGTTCTTGCAAAGCAGTTTATGAAAATGTAACGGAGACACTTCCTGGGGAGACATGCTGCACTGTGCATTGTAGTTTTACACTGGCTGAGACCATTTCAAGTCCATCCCAAGTACGCGATGTTTAGTGACACTGGTGACTCCTGTAGCTGAAAGCTGGAATGTACAGAGGAGAGTGGCAGATACAGTTACAGTGGACTTTTCTGGAGTAAGCTGTGTACATCTTGCCTTGTTTTGATCCCATGTTCAAACTTTCGGCAGGCTAGTGTCTATTTTATGTGCTTAGTTAATTGCTTCTTCTTGCTTGACTTTCATTTTCATGGCTGTCCAAGGATCAGGCTTCCCCAGAGGCTGCCTGGTTGGAGGTGTATAGGCAGAGAAATAAGTAAGCATTTCGTAGGAATGTTTTAGAGAAAATCCAAGCACCAGAAAATTGGGAGGTTAGACTAGACTCTCTAAGTCACATCCAACCTTGGGATTCTGTAATTTGTTTATAAGCTCCCCTAGCCTGTTCAACTTGCTTTGCATGAATCCACATGTGTGTAGGAGTGCTTAATGAGTACTGGTTCTCAATGAGGTTTCCCAGTACTCTCACCATGATGTCAGGCTCAGTCAAAGAGACAAAATCACTAGCTTGGACAGACTTTTGAAGCGCAGGCAACGAGGAGGGCACCATTTACACGTCCCCAGACTGCGTTATGCCTGCTGAACCAAGGGTGTTCACGGAGCCACTGGTGTTCATATCTGTTTCAAGAGTTAGTTCTGACCTCTGGAATGATGGATGTCAAAACAAAAATCCGGGCTTGAGATATGGAAGTTCTTAATCCTTATTCTGGTTTTGCATTAACTAGTCATGTATACAACGGTGAGCCACTTGATCTCTCTGGGTTATAGTCTCCCCACTTATAAAACAGGGCAGAGTTGGGGTGGGGGGCAATGGGGAGATGAATCCATGATTTTCATTCATCCCTTCAACAAATGGAAGCCATCTGGCTCCTAGGGCTGCATCTAAGATGATATATAAGGTGCTAAAGTTAATTTCTCCCAGTACAAAATTCTTTGTTACTAATTACAATGACTGAAGTGGAAAATAAGTGACATAGTTTAGGTTTCCTTGTTTGGGGTGCTGAGTAAGTGGCATAGAGGAAAGAGAAACATAAATTTAATCATGAGGCAATTACAGGAAGAAAAGGGAAGGAAGGAGGGAAGGAGGGAAGGAAGGAGGGATGGAAGGAAGGAAGGAAGGAAGGAAGGAAGGAAGGAAGGAAGGAAGGAAGGAAGGAAGGAAAAAAGAGAGAGGAAAAACTGACTGCTAAGGACATTCTGAAACGTGGTAAGTCCTGCCTCCTCCCAGATCACTTAGGTTTCTGTCTGAGCTGGAATTCTGAGATCACACCCAGTGGCCTCAAGCCCATGCATCAATAAAATGGAAATGCTAACAATGAGGACTCTTGAGAAACTTTGAACTTAAGTAAAAGCAAGATTTAACCAGTGAAAAGGTTATGGGAGTATAGTTCTGTGATGAGCTCATTTAATTGCAAAGGAGAAGAGAGCAGTTTTGTTCTAGTGACCTAATGTTCAGCTCATTGATCTGTCTATTATTTATTAAGCAATTCCTGTTGCAGAGAGGGACTGTAAGAGGATGCAGATGTACTTCAGTGTTTTTGTTTGTTTGTTTATGAGATATAATGTACAGGGTAATAATATAATAACATGGCCAGTAAAGGGCAGGAAAATGTCAGGTATTTAAAGAAGATTCTGCTACTTAAATAGTAAGACTTTAGCAAAACTTTAGAAAGAATCCCACTTAACTTGTCTGTGCTTGTCTCTCTATGCTTATGTTGATTAACCTAACTGTAGTAGATCAGTAACTTCTAACTCATTTCTTGTCTTGTAAGGAGAGATCTTTGTAAGTATTTTTTTCAAATTATACATTCAGGTTGCAAGTAGTAAGAACTTCTTAGGGAGTCTTTAATCTCAAGATGATCAGTCTAGCTAAGTATAATTAAAAGACTGCCTTCTCCATGTATTGCTGAATAATGATGAGAAACAATAATGTAAAAATGTTTACTAATCATTTTCTCCGCAGACAACTTTAGTCAGTGATAATAGTATTCTATAGGTATCTGCAAATTTAAAGGGCCAGAAAAGAAACATATTTGTTTCAAGATTTGATTTAATCAGACCAGTCCAGAGTTTGTAATCCAAGGCTATACTGTACCTCTCTAGTCCAAAATGCTATTTTGTAGCTTTTAAACATTTTTCAACTTCTCTGTACTGCTGATCATCATTCCACTAGGGTAAAAAAAAATTTCCTTGGAAGCTCATTAAATGTATAATTTAAAAATTTAGAAAATTAAAGAAAAAGTCAGATTAAGCAAAAAGTATGCATTTTTTTTCTCCTTAACCCTAACTCTAGCCTAAACCCTAGCCCTAGAATTACTAGCTTTTAAAGTTCTAAACTAAGTCTGGCTTTATGTAGTAACATTTCAGCCTGTCTAGGCTCTCTAGGGAGCCTATCTGAGTACTTTTTTTTTTTTCAAAGGTTAGGCTTAACACATGAAGGTATTTTCAATTTGTAAGGGATAAAGGCATTTTCTCGTTTAAATTTATTAAGCACAGATTGTATAACCTATGTAGCTTCTCAGGTACCATTTTTAGTGCTTTGGATGGAAATATGAACAAATATCTTACCCAAGTCATCAAGGAACTCAGAATTATATATTTTAGATATCTGACTTAAAAGACTTTCATGGACCTTAATTTGAAGGGTTCATCCTGTTCCAGCCTAAAACTGCGCAATTTAGATTCTATCCACACATGAAACCCTCATAACTTCTAACACACTTGCTTGCTTTGGTTTTTTTAATCCATTATTATATATGCCCAGTGAGTTTTTATGCTGTTACGATTCTGAGCCTTTTTTCCTTTGTATATGTACATTTCCCCACACATATCACTATAGTTAAGAATTAATCCAAATGTCTCCAGTAAGACAAAATGAGATTTTTGTGTTTGATGGCCTTCTAGTATTGTAATGTACAAGAAATGTCCTAAGTCTATGGATGCCAAAGACATTAATTGAAAAAATATTACTTTGCAAAATAAAACTATTGCTTTTTCAGATTTTTAAAAAATGAAACATGATTCCTTTGCTCTATAGGATTTATATGACTCCTAACTATAGTTTTTTTTTTCATTATTTTTGTGCACTATACAAGCAAGACATTATTCTATAAAGAAATAAAATATACTAAGCTTTGACCCCTCCCCCACAGAAACTTTGTGAAAGAAGTAGAAGAGTAAAATGGGTATGTCATGAATCAAATGTGTTTTCTTTGAGAACTTCAAGGTGACAAAACTTAGCAATGAAAACTATGAATCTAGATAATTCCAGGTGAGTGCAAAGGGAGCTTTGAAGTAGTTCATCCATGTGTGTTCCCTGCCTGGACGGTTTTATGCAAACCTGACTCATGAGACTGAGGCCCAAGAGACTCCTTGTGAAGAACACCTTGTGATCCAAGTGCTCAAACCTGCTGGGCAGGCGGCCTGCTGTTTTTACATGAAGCGCACACCAAAATGATTATTATGGAAGTCGGGTTTGGTTTGAGGCCCTACAACTCCAACAAAGTGGAAAACTTGGAGTGAGATCAGAGAAAGAAACAAAAGTGGTGAATAAAGAATCAGGAAACAGTATTTATGAGAACACAGAGTAAGGGTGGCTGAGAGATGTAGGAGGCTATGCATATTTCTGGCATAGAAAGAATGTTGACTGATGGTGCTCTCTATACTGAGGATAAAATTCCATCACCCACTCTTTAGACCCTCCAATGACTTAGATTACACTTAGGGTAAACTCCAAACCCTTTACTCTAGCTTGCAAAGCCCTGCCTGGTTTATACCTTCTGTCTACCTTGCTAAGCCTACTTGTTTTACTTTCCACATCCTAGTCTTCTCCAGTTGAGTGACCTGCTCTCCTGGTTGGCCCAGGATTAAGAGTCTTCTCTGGATGCCAGAAAGGTAGTTTTAAAATCAAGACAGTCCTAGGCAAATGGACCAGAGGTCACCCTATCCTCCAGGCACATGAGTCATCTTTGTAACTTTCAGCATTTCCTCTTCCAGTGTCCCTTTGCTTGAAATTATTTCCTTCTGAGTAGAATTTGAAATCTGTGTTGTAGACAGGAGCTCAGTTACTTTATTTTCCTTCTTCTTGTTAATAATGATTGTCTTGGCAAAAACTGTTGGTAAATCAGAAGGACACACCCTAACAGTAGAGTTCTTGGTACTTTCCTCTTCATACCACAGTGTTAGCACCTTCAGTTCCTGCTAAACCCATGTTCCATGGAACATGTGTTTGTTTGATTCAGCAGCTCGTACACCACCCTGGAATATTAAGATAAGTGTGTAGGTAGGTACTTATCAGGAAGTGGATATATGAGAAGAGGTGAGGAGTGTCTTTGGTTTGCTTTTTAATTAAGTTAAGTAAAAATGTATCTTGGCTTCCAAAATATCTCTCAAATACAGTAAAGAAAGGAGAGGAAAGGAAAGGAAAGGAGAGGAGAGGAGAAAAGAGAAAAGCAAAAAAAAAAAAAGAAAGAAAGAAAAGAAAACAGACTTTGCTGCTTTGTAGATAGAGATCACTATGATTTTATCATAGATTGGTTATGATGGGGATGGAAATATTAAAAAATTAAAATGTGATGTTTTAGATATCTTAGTGTTAATTGAGGTTGGTAACTTAAGTTCTCACCCCCTGAATATACTGACTGAACCTAGGTCTAAATTAGACAGTGTGATATAAATCCTTTCTATCGTGTCTCACCTTTGAAGAACATCAAGGAGTCAGTTGTTCCAACTTCCTGGTTAGCAATACCATCATTCACACTTCACATAATAGAACCGTGGTCCAAAAGAATAATAAGTAGCTGACTGAAGTTAGCATGGTTTGTTACCGTGTAAATAGTATTTATATATGCAGAACTACTTGTCACATGTTAGCACTGTCGATGAGATAATGATCTTTACGTGAAGGAGGAAATTAACCTAGAATTAATCACGCTCATCTCACCAGCATAGTTTCAGCTTATTTTCTCTAAGTCTGTCCTTTTATACCACAATGATAGTGTTGTGTCCTTACCCTTTTAAGAAACACACTGGCGTAATCCCTGAAACCTGCCCCTCTCTGTTCGATCACAGTATGCAATGACAATTACAGGAAATTAGAAAATTAGTGCAATCCTTCGAAATACTACATTGAACTTTTATTGACAACACGACAATTGAAATAGCCTTAAAATAAAACTGCTGATATCTGTGAATATTAATCTACTATGTTCTAAAGCAACATTGCAAATGTTCAGTCTTGTTCTAATAAGATAGTACTCATATCTTCCACCCTCACCCCAGTCACTAGAGATACAAATGCTGGTTATTCAGCCATGAAAATCTATGAGAAATTCATTTTTCACCCTCCAAATTCACCCTATTTTCCCCCTGAAGCTTGATGACTGAAGTTTAGAGCTGTTAACTATTACCAAGATATATTGTAAGCCATTTTAATTATAAATGGTTGAACATTAAAGATAATACATGTGATTGTATTTCAGAATTAAAATACTCCATTAGTTAGGATTAAAGATGTATTAGGTCAGTTAAACCTATTCAGTGAGATCATTAATTATTTTTTCCAGAAGAATTTGAATTTGATGTTGAATACATAAAACAGTAGAGCCAAAGCATTTCTTATTCATTATCCAGCCAGCTGTTTGTTGTTCTGGAGAAGAAACTATGTTGGTTACCTACAGAAACATCACTAGAACTAGGGTCTCCTGATTTCTAGTTTAATCTTCTTTCTTTCATATATAAATATACGTGGTCTTCTACAACTCTCTTCTTCTTGGACTAGACATGAGTATTCTTATATGTTCTAAAATATTTTCTACCAGGCACTCTGCAAGCAACCCGTGCCTTGATGGTGATTGGCATCCTGCTGGGACTAATAGCTCTCTTTGTGGCTACCGTTGGCATGAAGTGTATGAAGTGCCTGGAAGACGATGAGGTCCAGAAGATGCGGATGGCTGTCACTGGGGGCGTGATATTTCTTATTGCAGGTAAGAGAGGCCTTGACCCTCCCCCTTTAAACTATCTCTGGCATGGTGTAAGGTCTAGCTTACATTTCCTTAGACGGCATTGAATTTCTTGCACCTGAATTGATTTATTTCAGTCCCTTTAAAATATGAAGACATGGAGAGTCCAACTGACTTTCACATTCTCAAAGAGGAACCTCATGAAAATGTGAGATCTGTGCTCACAGTGGACAGGCCTATCCTTTGAGGTTTCAGGTGCCACCTGGTTTAATAGTACCAGCTTCCCCAGGTGAAGAGAGATACCTCCCATTTAGCAAACACTAAGGAACAATTCTAATTACACAGAAAATTTCTGTGGCATCCTTATATACGATATGTGGCAGAGAAGGGGAATAGTAACAGAGAACATAAAGAATGTGTGAATTGTACGGATGTGTGAGGGTGGATGGGATTAGATTATTAGAGAAAAATGAGAACATCATTTTGGGTGGTCAGATCTGATCCAAAATAAACAGGAGGTACCCATGCATTAGTGAGGAAAAAGGCCAAAAGGAAGGGAGGAATGGTAGGAAATTAAGTTAAATAAATTAATAACAAAACAATACAGGAAGGCCTTGAAAAAAACCAACATGTATTTGTTGCCTCATTGAAGTGGTGATGGGTGAGTTAGATATGTTACCTTTGAGAGAATGAGAGCCAGAGAAAGACATGGTAGTTCCATTTTAGTGTTATAATAATGCTTATTTTAAATAAGATTGCATGTGTATAAAATAATATTTTACATATATAGTCTATTTCTGAAATAATATATAATTTAATTAGTAGTTTAGTGTGTTTGAAAATGACACCAGTGACATATTCTACCCCTCGGAGAAACTGGAACTAGACTCTCTCATATTCTCTTTGACAAAAGACCTGACAGGGCATTTGCCCAGCATGCTATGTGCATTTCACCAACAATGAAGAGTGCCTGTGGCTTTCCTAATGATTTGGTTAAAGTCACCAGCCTTTCAGTTTATCCAAATGAGCCACCACTCCTCCCCACAAACCCCCCACACAAAACAGAGTGTGGGGCTCTTTTCCCAAAATTCCTCAAAGGCTATGAATAAATTCACTGAATAGTACCCTTCATTTACACACCTTTTTAAAGCTCCCCTAAGAGACTGCATCATTCGCAGTTCAGTTTAACGGGTTTCCTAGGGAGTGAAGGTTGAAAGCTCCAGAGCATTTCCATGGTGCATCTGAGCAGCCAGAAAGCACTAGTGTTTTCTGTCATGTATTAAAGGCAATTCGCTTGGACCTCTTTTTTCTGAGGGAAAGGAGGATGGAACATTGAAAAGTTTAATCTGTTCTATGTTGATGGTTTCTTAGAATTACTATAAAAGGAAGTTATTTAATTTCTTTGGATTAGGAAAATGAAGATACTTTGTACGTCTGTCACATGATGGTATGAATCGTTTTGACCGAGCGGTTTCTTTGGTATTACTGAAATATGAAATGCGTAGAAAACTGAGACTGCGCTGCATAATTTATCTGATGTGGCACCTCAGCAAATTTCAAGGCAATGCCTGGCAGGTCCGGCCAATGGAGCAGTAGGAATTTGGGTGGTCTAGTCCATTCTGAGACAGGTCCTGCTCTTCCCTGCTGCCTCGCTGTTTTACTTTCCTTTTGATCCTACAGAAAAGTAAATGTTGAGCTTTGGTCAAGAACTGTGTAGAAGAGCTTTTATCTTATCTTCCCTTTTTCAAATGACTCATCTATAATAATAAGGACATCAGGTTCACCAAAAGTAGTTTAGTACATTAATGTACAATATCTTCAATTAACTTAAGTGACCTGAACCTGCTGTACTGCTTACAAAAAGGCATTATTTGTGCCTGTGACCTTGAACTACAAACAAAGAAGATAACAAAATATAAACTATGCCTAACTCTGACCTAATATTTTTGTGGGTCTTAGAATACTTGGAATAAATCATGTCTGAACTTCTAATCTCCCTAAATTAAAACGGTCTACATTAAAAATGTCAGTGCCATTGATGAGATTTAATGCTTATAAATATAATGGGCTGTATTGTTATGTTCAGTGTTCCATAATGATTGAGTCTTTTGTTTTGAATCTCTCCAGGTTTGGCTGTTTTAGTCGCCACAGCATGGTATGGCCACAGAATTGTTCAAGAATTCTATGACCCCATGACCCCAGTCAATGCCAGGTGATGCTATTCACATGTAAAATAGCTTATTTTCTGAGAAAATACCGTTTTCATGTTCTGCAAAGGCCAGCTAGTGCCACCCTTTCCCAAATTTGCTTTCCAGAATTGTATGCCAGACTTACAGATAATTTGAGTGGTCTGTGAATCATACTAAAATGAATTTGATAATTGTTTTAGTTGCCTTTATTGATAATAGAATGTATTTAAGTAGAAAAGTCCCAAGCTTTATACTTTACAACTGTGTACTGGGCATTTTCTCTTGTTTTTTTTAAATATTGATAAAGATATTAACATACTTGAAGTGTACTTTTTAAAGTAACTGTGATTATTTGTAAGTAAAACATAGTTTATCATTAAAAATGATACTACTATATGGCTTAATGAATAATACTTCATTCTCAGTAATTTAACTTTATGAAGAAAAGTTTTAGTTATGAAGAAATAAGTTGTGATACTACTTTGAAATTTTATGTTCCATCACTATAAAATTGACTTTCCGAAGGTCAACTTTCTCAATATTGCAAGTTGTAGAAGTTCAAGGGCTGATTCGTGGCTCTCACGTCAACACTCTTTGATCAGGGACATGGCTCTTTGTCTCACTGTGTTCATGTCTTTAAAGCCTAATAACTACATTCAGAGTCAGGATGTTAAGATGTAATTATTGTTTGTTGAGTGCTAGGATGAATAGATGAGAAATCCTAGTGGTTAGATAGATAAGGTGTGATTCTTTTTATATAATCACCCACGTACAGGAGAACAGATACTGCAATGATTATGTTGGAGCCCTTCCCATAAGATTTACAATGTAGGGACAGAAACTGCTGGAGGTCAATTGGCTAAAATTTTACCAGCAATGGATGTGAGAGCACTTTATAAATTGCTAGGCACCAGACACGTTATTTACATTGTCTCAGGTGATCCTGAAAGTAGTCCAATAAGGCAGATGGGTTTATCCTGCTTTAAGAGAAGCAGAAACTGAGGTTGAGAAGTGAAATTACTAACACTCAATTACAGCAGTTGAGGGCTTGCATCTGGATCTAAACCTAGGTCTTATGACTCTAGATCTAGGCTTCTCTACCCTTAGTCTACAGTCGGTCAGTCCACAGTCAGTTTCGGCTCCTCACCCTGAGAGAGTCCTTGATACGTCCGCTTAGATCAGCTTAATCTAGAATGTTCTGTGGGCTGCTTTGAAGTCTTTTTTACAAAATCATAAATTTCACATTTCAGTGTATGTAGATACCTGGGATCAACCATGTAAAACTCTAATGGTCTAGCACTCTAGCAGTTTGTTCATAGGCTATGGTTGCTACTTGGCGATAGCATGACTTGTTAAGTTTAGCTGAGGAATCAGAGCTCAAATCTGCCTTCTAAAGTACATAAACATGCTTTACAAGTCTCCTACACATGAAAAAGTCTTTGGAAATATTTGCGTAATTAACCTGGTGTTGCATGCTGTATTGCCTGATCTACTATTGCAAATTATCAACAACTGCAATGTAGATATTCTTGTATATGTGATCACAAACCTGAAAGTACTTCCCCCAGATATCATGGGGGATTATTTTCAGGGGAAAAAATATATAATGAGATTTCTAATTACATTAGAAAAGTTTCCAGTGATTCATTGATTAAGCAAATGCATTTCCTCTTAGGTATGAATTTGGTCCAGCTCTCTTCACTGGCTGGGCTGCGGCTTGCTTCTGCCTTCTGGGAGGTGCCCTACTTTGTTGCTCCTGTCCCCGAAAAACAACATCTTACCCAACACCACGGCCCTATCCAAAACCTGCACCTTCTAGTGGGAAAGACTACGTGTGACACAGAAGCAAAAGGAGACAACCCTGGAACAAACAGAGAATGGACATTGAAATACTATTGTTGACTTTAAGACCTTTAACTTGGACTATTATAGTGTGAACTGTGGTATTATAAAAAAGTGTTTTTTAAATACCCATTGCTAAAAATGACTTAGTCTTATTTTATCTCCTTTCCTTAATACAGGAGGGAAGACTCTTTTATTTGTGTTACTGCTTCCCACTGAGTAATCATCTCAAATGTGGGGAGGGGTGTTCCTTAATTATAGATATGTATATAGACATGTTTTTCTATAAAAAAATTAGATGGTAAAATCTCTTTTTATGTTGGTATGAACATACTTAAAACATATCTAAAATATGTATATTTAAGTCTATATTGATTAAATATGCAGCTTATTTGCTATGCCTCTTCTTTCTATATGTACACACATATAATAGGTCAAATATCATTTGCCTTGTTTCATCAGCTTCTAGTGTCTTTGATATGAGACCTAGCCTACTAAAGCAAGTATAAATTCTTTCAGTTCTTCACATGTGCCCTTTTATTTTACTTTTTTACAGCGATCTTATAACACTTGCTTTGTCATTAGTCATTCTTCATGTCTTTGTTTTTTATTAGGTCAGGTCTAACTTGAATTTAACAACAGGTTTCCTAAGCATACTATTTAATTTCTAAAATCAATAAGAACCTCTTACAGCTCAGACCTTTGGGGGCAAATCTTTCTGCATGGCCAGATGATATATTCCCATTGACCTTCCCACCTCATCTCTGTACTCTGACCTATAACACTCTTGTTTGCTTTCAAAATATTTGCCTTATTGATCAACTCTGTGCTGCTTTCCCAAGTGTAACACAATTTTATTGATTGAATTTTTAAGCCACTTATTTACAGTTGTATCCCTCCAAACTACCTTTTCTCTCCTTTACATCCTCAGCTATATTTTTCTCTTATGTAATTATCATATATTGGGTTAGCCAAAGAGTTCATTCAGTCTGTTTCTGTAAGCTGCCTGTAGTAGCGCTTGGTTGTCTTTAATGTCATTTGAAACAATTTTGTTAGATTGTATTGTAACAGCTGTCACATCAATGTGAATTTAAAAAAAAATTTACCAAAATTGGTGAATTTTTACATATCCATTTTAATATTGAAGATGGAAGAAAATACACAACATTTTTGGCAAATTGTGCTTTATTATTTCAAGAAAGATAAAAATGCAACTGAAATACATAAAAAACAAAAAACAAAGATTTGTGCAGTATATGGAGAAGGTCAAGGTGGTTTACAAAGTTTCGTGCTAGAGATTTCTTGTTGGACAATGCTCCACGGTCAGGTAGACCAGATGAAGTGGATAGAGATTAAATCAATACATTAATTGAGAACAATCAACATTATACCATATGGGAGAGAGCCGGCATACTCAAAATATCCAAATCAATAAAGTTATTGGTGAAAATGAAAAATGTGTATTAGTTTACAGAAAAAACTAAATGAACTTTTTGGTCAACCCAATAGTTTACCTCTTCCCAGAGAGGTGTGGTTGATTTGTCTGCATGAAGTGCTAGATTTTCTGTAGTGATAATCTGGTGACAAATATTCTCTCTGTAGCTGTAAGCAAGTTGCTTATTCTTTCTCCTCTTTTCCCATATGTTAAATTGAGATAATGATACTTAACTAGCTGGTGGAGGTGTTGTGAGTATTAATTAGTTGGTATTATGTTCATTCTTTGAACATGAAATATGCCTAAGTGGTGTTTTTATTTGCTCAATTGGCTCTTAGAATCATTGAACCAAACCTACACACACACCTTCACGAGGTTCAGTATCTTCTTTTCTCCTCCAGTACATTTCTTTTTTTCCACTGTGCCAGTCATGTTGTTGGCACTCTGTTCTATTTTAATAATTGCTCTTAGTTTTCCAGTCTGTGGAAAATGGTACTTTACTTGAGCAAGATGATGTAATGACAAGGGTGTTGCTGTTGGTGTCTGGAGACCTGATTTGAGTCTTGGTGCTATCAATTACCGTCTGAGTTTGAGCAAGCACTTGGCTGGCCTAGATTTAGTGTTTCATCTGTCAAAAAGGGATCGTAATTCCTGACCTGCCTACCTCACAGGGTTTTTGTGGGGATGGATGTGAGATAGAATATATGCAAAAGTGGTTTGTGAGGTAAAAAGTATTGTAATAGAGTAAAGAACTAAGACATTTCAGTGTTTAGGTTTGGGATTACTTTTCAAATGACTGAACAGAGAGAAATTTTAAAGAATGGGTTTCTTGCCTTTACCAGTATCTCAAGGGATGATACACTATAGTGAAATTCGACTTACTAACTGAAGAGAATTCTAAGGAAGTCAGTTTCTTCAATCAGTATGGTTTGATGCTTTTTGTGGCTAAGCTTTTCTCTTCTTAGGAATGTAGACTTGGCCCAGGATGAGCCTGCAGGTGTAATTGGTAAAAAAAAGAAGTGTGTTGGCAAAGCCAAAGTATGGACAATTTTTTGAATTATAATAACTTGCAAAGATATTCAAGGTTGATGTCTGTTAAGTGATGCCTTTGAGGTGATGCTGTTAGCTAGCAACTAACACTGCTAGGATAGTTTGGGAATGGTAATTCATAGTGAAACCACATGAGAAAGTTATCCAAAGGATTGCATCATATGAGGATTTGAGCCTAGTAAATTTTAGTGTCTTCCAGACCTGAGTCTATTCTTCTGGAAGGTATAATTCAAATAACCTTTGCTGCATATATAAATCCTAACAATGTGTGAGTGTAAATGCATGTGGTTTACTAGTTGCTAAACTCTTCAAAGAAATCTATAATCCAAAATGACCAAGAGAATTGTTACATGAGAATTTGGTCAATTTTGGTATTTTTGTATCCTGCTAATGTACCTGGAAACAGACCCAGTAGGCATTTTGGGATTTTGTAATGGGAATTTGTATAAAGCATTATTCTTTTTCAATGTCTTTGGCATTTTTTTTAATAAAAACATAGATCCTTGGCTTGTTTTTCAAGTTATTATTTCAAGAATGCCATACCTAGAAGAGAAGATGACTTGGGACAGGATCTGACTCACTCTCTTCCTGAGAAAGAGCTATGGTGCCTCTGGGTCATCTATCAAATATTTGAGTGACCCCACCTACTGGGATGTCCTATTTCTCTCAAATGGAGCTCCTTCACCATTGAAATTGGTGATAGAGAATGCCAGGAGAAGTTATTTAATCTTTCTCATCCATAAAAAGGGGACATATGGTAATGATGGACTAAATGATAAAATAACCAACTGTGAAGCACTCCAAAAGCTTAAGGTGGCTGTGATCCTTACAAGGAAGAAGAGTGAAAGAGATTCATGATTGTTTTTGTAATGACTGTAGTCAAAACTACCTCTTAGAAAAGCAAGTGATGAAACATATTTGCTGGTTATCTAAAAATGTCTATAACTGGTAGAGCCTTAATCATAGCCTCTCCCTGGGCAATTTTCATATTGAAGAGACAGATTTGTAAACAAAGAATTATAGCTCTGCATGGACTCCCAGGCATTAGCATGGTAGGTGAAAGGTTAAGATTATTGTCAGATTGATTTGAACTCTCCATAAATTAAGCAGGTGTACCAGAATTCTCACTCTGCAGATTTAAATCTCTGGGGGCAAGGACTGGGCCAAGGAAGTCAGTGTAGATGGAATGGACTAAGCTAGAAAGAGAGTAATAGGAAACGAAGACATGAAAGAAAGAGAGTAATAGGATTTGAAGACATGAAGACATGAAATCTAAACTGTGTGGGGCATGGTGAACCAATGTAAAGACTTCATTTTCCTCATAGTAAAAGGGAAAGATATTGTTAGGTTTTGAGCAGATGAGACACAAGATCTAAATTATGAGGTAATAGGATCATTTTAATCTGTTGTATTGGGAATAGACTAAAAAGAGGTGAAGGGGAGAAGCAGAGAGTTCAGATAGAGGTTATTATAATAGTCCTGACAAGAGATGGCTTGGTGATAGCAATGAGTAGTGAGAAGTTGTTAAATATGGCTTTTACTTTTGAGTGAACAGGTTTTGCTATTGAATTGGATCTGAAATGTGAAATTTAAAAAAGAGTCAAAATTACTCTTAAGATTTTGGGCCTGAGCAACTAATGGGAGAGAGCTACCAAAAACTAAGAAAGGGAAGACTATAGGTGAGGGGATTTCACTTTGGCCATGTTAAGTTTGAGATGCCAATTGCATATCCAAGTAGAGATGTTCAGTAGGCAGTAGGAAAAAAAGCAACAAAAAAACAACAACAACAACAACAAAAAACAAACAGGAATGTAGAGAACTGAAATGGAGAAAGAACTCTCAAGAAAAGAGAGTAATCAAACATCAGTTTATCAAGTTGAAAAATATACCCCAGGCTTTCAACATTTAAATTGACAGCTATAATCACTAGGCTAAAAGGTCAATAAGAGCAGGGAAACAAACCTATTTCCCTATTATTGAATCTTTTATCATGTTACAGATTCTTTATTGCATTATTCTCTTTAAGAGTATTCTCAAAGAGGTATGGTATATTAGTCATAGACCTGCCTTGGATTTAGCCCTTTACTGGCTCTACCTTTTAATTATTACATTTTAATAACTGAATTTAGCTGAAACCAAACTGTTGGTTTAGGTTTTCTGGGAAGCAGAGCTCCAGAACAGAGAATTGCAAGAGATGGAATACTAATGTCTATGACAGAGAAAAGAAATACGTTATAAAACAAATCCTCAGCCAACTTTCATCTTTATGTCGCATTGAATAGAATAGTTTCCCATGCTTACAGTCAGCAGCAAATGACGTGGGGATGTTTAGTTTCATAAATGGTCACATTACTACCCATTAAAATCAGATTTTTGCCAGCCTCATTGGCTGTGATCTTGATCAACTTACTAATATCTCTCAGGTTCAGTAATAATATGTGTTCAGCTTAACTCATAGGGTTTTGGTGGAAGCCAAATTGACCTAATATGTATGGATATCCTTTGCGAACCAAAAATATTGCACAAATATAAGAGATTAGGGTTCACAAGAATAATTTGTTTTGTTAAATGAAAGCCTTTGACACTTGAAGTGCAGAGGGTACTTTCCCTGATTTCAAATATTAATCTACCTCCATGCATGTCTTCCACTATATTATATAAGATCTGTCCAGAAGGTATACAGCCATGTAATGTGAAAAATAAAGATATATATTGAAGAAGATACGAGAGACAAGAAATACCATACACAGGACAATGACCCATCAGCCCCCATCAGAGCAGGTATCTTGGGACCTCACACAGTTCTCCCAATCACCATCAGCTGCCCCTTCATATTTTTCTGAATCTCATCAACCGTCCGAAATCTCATCCCTTTCAAACTTGATTTTAGTTTTGAGAAAAGGTAGAAGTCGCAGGCCACCAAATCTCAGCTGTAAGGGAAGCTGAGTCACCTGGGCAATTTGATGTTTTGCCAAAAGACTGTACAACAAGTGATGTGTGAGTGGACATGTTGTCGTGATGATGCTGCAATCACCAGTTGCCCATAGTTGCAGCCTTCTGAATCATCCGAATAGTTTCGGTGGAGGAATGTTTAAGCTTAGTGCAAAATTTGATGCAGATTCATTGTTCTATTAGCTCAGCCATTTTGAATTCGACAGCCACACAGTACATATGCTCGCTCAACAGCCATCTACTTCCCCCACTGACTAGTACAGTGAAGTTGTCATTGTTCACACATGCACAGTCCAGTCCACTCTCCTTGGCTGGCAGGTTACATCAATGTC